TCTCCTTCTCATCTCTCAGTTACTTCTCAGCATATCTACTACTTATCATCAACCTTCTGTCCCTTACCTCCTCTTTCTAGAATCATTAGTACAAAGAGTTGAATCTCGATAAAAGCTTACAACTAAAAATATGTCAGCTCTTCATCCTCTTACTCCTCTAGTAGAAGAAACTCAAGAACATCTATCAACACTTGATATAACTTCGAAAAATCTCAACCCATCTAATCAAGACAATGGCAAACCTTCCACTCAAGATGGTCCTAAACCTCTCAATCAAGAAACACAGATACCTCCAATTAGAAGACCTTCAGCACCGGAAATGTCAAGGAATAGTAGTAGTAATTCTTTAGCTGGTGTACAAGATAACGGTACCAACCTCGGTTCTTTAGCTGGTAGAAGAGCTAGTCAAACTATCTTTTCAATGGAAAGAAGGACTAGTCAAGGTGGTCCAAGGAGTAGAAGAGGTAGTGGAGCTGTTTTAACTCCTAGTGGAACAACGGTGGTTTATCATACTAGGACTAATGTGAGTTTGAGATGTTTTCTTTAACCTAGCCCCATCATGGTCCTCATCGACTTTGGTACTTCTCATCGCGCAAATATCACTGCCAACGGACCCCTTGATTATTGAACCTACGATATCGTCGGACGAATTTGATGGTGAACTCGGTGATGTCGGTCTCAGAATGATGGAGTGTTGTACAATCATCGGCAGTTGATCATTGATCATCCGGAACTCAAGTCCAGGACAAGCGACAGATATTGACAAACAGGCGGATGTGGAATTCCCTCACATCGAGAAGAGTACGTATGAGCTTCGTCGCATCAAACTTCTCTTCTCTTATCCGCTTCGAAGCTAAACCTCCAAACAACCGTAGCATTCTCTCATCACCAATGAGATTGCCGGTAAAGGTAAAGGTGTTCTGAAGTAAGCTGACTTGTGATAGAAACTATTGCAGATCAGTTGAGGAAATATGAGAGTATCCTGACTCGTAAGTCAACTGTCATTTCGGTCTGCTGTAGCTGACCTCAGTTTCACCCCAACGAATGCGTATGATCGTACATGCCATCGAAGAGTCCCTCGACAAAGGTTTACAGAAAGATGGTCAGATTGTCGTATGTCCTCTTTTCCACTTCGTTACTGCGCTGATATTTCCCAGCCTATGAGTAAGCTACTCGCGCAACGTCGTTCTATAGCTGATACATCCAGTCCCGACCTTTGTCTTTGGAGTGAGTGTCACAAACTGCATCATTGGTTTATACTGATAAATAGTGGCCCAGCGGAGAAGAAATGGGCGAATATCTAGCTCTAGACCTCGGAGGTACCAATCTACGTGTATGTCTCGTCACTCTACAAGGCCTCGGAAAGTTCGAAGTCACTCAGACGAAATATCGTTTGACCGAAGAACAGAAACAAGAAGATGGTCAGAAACTGTGAGTTGTAGTGTTTCATCCAATGTGAATGTAGCTGACGTTTGAAAGATTGGACTTTTGTGCGGAATGTTTAGACAGTTTTATCCGTGAAACTCTTGGACGAACTGAAGAGGATCCTATCTTGCCCTTGGGTTTCACGGTCAGTTTGTTGACCTGGATAGTAGCAATGAACTGACGGTAGTTTTCTTACCCTTGCTCGCAGTTGCGTATTGATCATGGAGGTGAGTGACTTATCAATCGTCGTCCTACACTCCCATACCTTCTGCATCTTCACGTTTGCGGATATGCTTTACGACGCTCAATCATTCACAACCTTCCGGGCATTAAGTCAAGAGGGGAATTGCTAATAGTCAGTGCTTATCCGTTGGACCAAAGGTTTCGGCGCTCCGAATATCGAAGGACGTGATGTAGCAGAAATGTTCAAGGATTCTTTGAAACGATTTGTCAGCTTTCTTGGGAGCTGATTAGCGTCACAGCTGATGTATAGAACGTACAAGCGGAGCTTCTCGCTTTGATCAATGACACCACGGGTACTTTGATCGCTTCCAACTATGTCGATCCCAACACCAAAATCGCCGTCATATTCGGTACTGGATGTAATGCCGCATATATGGAGACGGCGGAGATGATTCCCAAAATGTCATCTGTCGGCTTGCCTCATGGACAAGGTATGGCGATTAACGTAAGTTCTCTTCCAAAATCAACCCACACTATCACATCTCCCTCAACCATTTGACATTCCGTCATCACCACAAATGTCACATGGAGAACATTGAGAAGTCTGTCGGACACCCCATCGGCCTATCTCGCCTGGACTTGAAAGAGATGGATTTGAGCTGACGGAGAGTGCGAATGGGGAGCGTTCGACTCGTTCGACCATCAACATCTACGTGAGCTTCTTCTGTGTCTACTTCAGAAAATGGCCAGCTGACCTTTCAGCTCGAACAAAATACGACATCATCATTGATGAATCGTCTAACAAACCGGGCGAACAATCTTTCGAAAAGATGATAGCTGGACTTTACCTCGGAGAAGTATTCAGGTTGATCTTATGTGAACTGATCGATGCGGGGGATTTGTTCTTGGGTCAGAATACGTACAAGTTGGAGAAAGCTTATGCTTTTGATACTGCTTTCTTGAGTTTGATGGAGAGGTGAGTCAAAAGTCCTCCACCTCCATTCTCCCTTCCTCCATCCACTGCTGTCACGCCCTCTGCTCGTCCTTTGACCATCACGGCACACATGTCCAATTGTCACATCGCTCTCTCAATGAAATACGCTATAAACCCGAGTGCTGCGGACGATATCCATTCGGGCCGTGCGAAGGTGGAGACGCAGCTGACAAATAGCGACCCGACTGACGAACTTCTCACTATCATCGGCGTTTTCACCCATTTCTTCGGACTGGAGACGACTATCGAAGAACGACAATTCTTCAAAAGACTCGCTATGCTCATTGGGACCCGTGCGGCTAGACTTTCAGCCTGTGGGATCGCAGCGATAGTCAGTAAGAAGGGGTATTTGGAGAAAGGGTGTAGTGTGGGAGCGGATGGGTCTTTGTACAATGTGAGCTATTCAATTCGCTATCATCAATGGATTCCACCACCGTACGACTTTAACAACCACCAAATTCTCACTTCTATACCCGTCTTCACCCCACAGCATTTTTATCTTCTCAGTGCTTCCATCACCATCACGTTACCCTCATAGCACACACACGGGCACGGGTGCAGAGCTGATGCTCAGAAATACCCTCACTTCGCCGATCGGGTCCATTCCGCCTTGGTGGACATTTTTGGAGAGAAGGGAAGGAGGATCACCACTCATCATGCTGAAGATGGATCAGGTGTGGGTAGCGCCATCATCGCCGGTAAGTTTTTGTTACACTTCGTTTTCTTTCTGACCCCGATCACATCAATCGTCCTCAGTGATAGTCGACCGTCATGAATCCCCGCTATCAGAACTGAGTTTCAATACTATGTCGTCCTTGGCTGACTTTCAGCAATGACCAAGGCGAGGAAAGACGAAGGATTCTTTGTCAATTATTAAGTACGTATACACACCACAAGGGATAGAATCAACAGGACAGATGTATGGAATGTTTGTCATCGCTCTTGCGCTTCCTCGTCGAGGCGTTCCGACTGGCAGGCTCGTATCCGTATCCCTTGGCCCCACTGGTCGTCAGATGTAGAGGGGTAAGGTGAGAGATGAATCGCATGACTACCGTCCAATCAAAGAGATACACCTATCACTGAAAGAGAAAAGTACCAAAAACTCTCTTACTCTACCCTTCTACATAAAACCCTGTATGATCCCGTATTTTGATATTTCACACGATAAACGTTCCCCATCATTGCCCCTCAAGGATCTTCAAAAAATTGTAAGAAATATCATCCCACTCATCTCCTCTAGGATACTTATCATCCGTTGGTAAAGGGGAGTAACCTCTAGTAGCTACCAACAAAGCGTACGTGTAACGAGGTTTGAGATCGAAATCTTGATATTCCCAACAAGTTGGAAATAAAGCGTCATCTTTCAATCTATCGTTTCCGCACCATGTATCCGGATCCTTGGGGTAAATGGCAGGATCACACCATTCTAGATACTTTGGATGAGTTCGGATGACAGTCGCACATAAACATGGATCATCAAATTCAGCTCCGATAAGGAAAAGTCTTTGAGGATCATAATAATTCGAACCATAATCAGGACATAAACATGATAAAGAGATTGTCAAATCGATTAAGATTCGTTTAAGGAAATGTTGACAATCCCATTTTTGACAAAATCGAATAGTGTTGTATGCTTTATCGAGACCTTCCCCTTTCGCGTCTGATATGTATCGTCCGTGATTGTGAGTACCGGAGGAAGTATCGGAAAGATTATGATTAGAAGGAGGAGAAGTGTTGGTGATATAATCTAGAAAATCGATGAGGATGGAAGAGGTTTCTATGGTGGGATCATCGAATTCGAAGGTTGTTTCTTGTGTTGAGGGGTAGGTGGGGTTTAAATGAAGAGCTTCTCGGAGAACAACACTGAGGTTAATAATGATGAAAACAAGGAGAGGGGGAACTTTTTGAATCATCATAAGGGATGAGTAGGTATAAGAAAATGACTTACCTGTTAGACTGTATGTGATAGAGGGGGATGAGTAATATCATGCCGTCACTGGAAATCAACCGACAATCTCCTTTTGTATATCTCTCGTGGATCTTGGGAGTGGGGCTTATCTGCGGATCAGTCTTACGTCACGCACGGGGGATCGGTAGGGTTCACCACTGGTGGTGGTGCTTCATGTCCCCTCGGTCGCTTGGATGTCTGATCTCGTGGAGTCTCAGTACTGCGTGTAACACGTCTTGGGGGCATATTGAATGTTTAGGACTAAACTAATGGTTACACGACCTCAGGGCCAATAGGGACCGGACGGGGTCCATATGGGCCGTCCGGGCCCGTCCGGTGTAACCAAATCTTCCGTGCCACGTGAGCCGGCGTCGGCCGACGTCGGCCTACGATCGCTTTTTACGATTGACTTTCGATTTCAACAATCAACATTGTTTGCTTCATGCAATTACTGAAAGTCTTCGACCTTTGCATGTAATGATGAGACAGTCATGGCATGTGCATACATTGATCAACTATTTGCTACAAAGTTAACCCCCATCTTCATCCAACTCCTCTAACATGGTTTGATCATGGCCATGCGTATCCTTGTCTGACACCCCGGCACCTGATCCACTCGCGTTCGACGTTTGACGATCTAAATCGTTGGGAGTGGACAAGCGACTACTTTCTGAAATCTGACGAGACTTCCCTCGCTTTCCGGAGCCTTGAGCAGATCGAAGACGTTGTTCAAAAGTCTGAGAATGTTTGCGTTGCGATCGTAAGTTCCGCGCAGGACCAGAGGTAGCAGCCGCAGCAGCAGGATCGGTATTCAGCTGTCTATTTGCAGCGTCATCCATCGTGATATCTAATGTCAGTGCTGTACACAATAATGAGTGATAAAAAACATACCTTCATCGTTCCAGCCCGCACTGAGTCCTGTAAGTTGTCCGTGTTCCAACACCGGCGAGGGAAGAAGGGTAACCGCGGTACGGCGACGACGTGAGGAAGGATCGTCGGTGTCCAACACATTAGCAGCTACTGCAGCGTTAAGCTGCTGAACAAGTGCACGCCCGTCCCGAGTAAGAGGACCCAAAGCCGACAAAATGACCTGAGGTGGAATCGGGGTATCAATGGTCGCTTTTCATTTAGCATAGCACACACAATTGTTAACTGGTACTTACCAAAGCCACTGACAATTGCTTCTAATCCTTCGAGCTTGGCAACAAGGTTAGAGGCCAATGACGCATCTAGAATTTCTTCTTCTAATACATTCTTCCCAAAATCACAATTGCTCGTTCCTCTTGCACGGCACTCAGCACAGCTTGATTGTGCTTTCTCACTGACGGTTATGCAACCGAAGGATACGGCATCCTCACGATTTATTCGATTTTGGCAATGTGAACACATTGCCACGCCGGAACGAATGATAGATTGGGGGCCACACACGATGTTGTGCGCCAGACGGTGACGCTTAACCTAATTTCATTGATTAGTATTGTTCTGGTCGAGTTTTAACATAAGAAGTTCAAGCTCACTATTTCTAACTCTTTATTCGCTGGTATAGCCCACACTTCGCCTTTCAAGGTGTTTGGCAGTAAAGCCAATGTCTTTGAGCTATCCTGAGGAAAAATACGACGATCAAATTTCGTTCCCGGCACCCATGAGAACGGTTCATACGCACCTACTAATTAGATACTGTCAATGACTCAAAAAAGCTTGTAACGTACTCAATACTGTTGTTGAAAAAAATTCATCGACTGCTTGTCCTCCCTTTTCTGGAGAGGTGTTGTTGCGACGACTTCCCTTGTTTGCGTACCGCTTTGGCGTGGGAGGAGGTACTTTGGAAGAAGGTGGTGTATCCGACATTTTGATGCTATAGCTAAGTTTCAATTAACGAAGAAAGGTGGAAAATAGTGGGTTAAGATTCACGACAATACACTTAATACATCCTTGTTGTGTGTACACTTGTTTACACTGTCTGCGTAGAAAATTGTTCAACCAACTACGCCCTGCAATGTTTGTTGCTCGGGATTGCAATGAAACAGTTTGAAACTATCCTTTGAGGGTGACTATGGTCGCAACAAACCATCATTGGCCGACGTCGGCCGACGTCGGTTTTTTGTCATTGTTATAGCTTTAGAGGCGTAATTTTTCACTCTCAGACATACCTTTCAGTGTGTCATGTAAAGCATTAAGCGACGAAGGACGCTGTCGAACACGAAACGCATCAAGATCCCTAGCAGCTTCGTCTTCCGTAATTGATCGTGTCTGAGCCATTAACTTGATCTGATTAATAATGACTAGACGTTGGTTCCAAAACCTCCGCTCTGTGTCACCGCCAACGCCCCAATGATGCTGAGGATTCTCGTACATCATTTTAGCAGACGGTTTGCCGTTTAAGCCGGTGTTATATTCTTCCCAAACTTGATTTACGGTCCGTAAAGTCCGTAGCAGGCTGAAAGGCGTCAAGACAGCTCGAGGTTGATTTACTACGGTCAATAGAGGTGAAGCTGTACCTTCTGCTGCTGTACTTGATGTAGGAATGTTTTCAAGCAGTACCGTTGGTTGCAGGGCGCGAGATGTTGTTTCTGATTGCACGGGTGTTTCACCTGCCGTAATTTCAGTTCCTTGAAGAATACTAGGTAAAATAATCGGCTGGCTTAAAGCGACAAGGATCCGAGACAGCTGCTGCTGGTTAAGGTTCAATGATACGTCTTGATTTTGAGCGGTTGTGATCAAAGACGACAATTTATGATGAATTTCGGTACTATCTTGTGTTTGCTTCATGAAATGCGCCGAGAGAGTTGATGCAAGTTGTGGCATGGCTTCAGCTAGCCTACGATCGTGACTATTCGTACGAAGAGAGCATGTGTCAAAATAACAAGCTTCCCATTGCTTGAATTCGTCATTTTGAAACAGGGAATGCGACCAAAGGTACAGCTCTGGGTATTTTTGACGCCAGGCGCAGATGTCTTGAAAAAATACCTTACGAAGGTGTTTCAAAAGCTGAACAAACGTCATAGCCTGTCTGTCTATAGCGTCACCTTGTCGTAAGGAAAGATCCAGTTCCCTTTACATGAGCAATGCGTTTACAAACGAGGTTTGCTTACCATTTTTCAAGAGAAGGAAATACCATTCTCTGTAAAGTGTCCGGTACAGGAATATCACGCGGAAGGTAATAGTCTTGGCTTCCATAAGGCTTAAACCCGGCCAATGCACGTAATACTGAACGAGGCATATGACCCAAGTAGACATTTTCCAAAACATCTTGATTCCAATGGCCTGCACGCGCAATATCTTGAGCTGATACACCTTCACTTTCTGCGAGCTGAGCTCCTCCGGCTCTATTGATATGTGTCTTCTTTCCCGTATTAACTTGAGCGCTTTTAAGAGCCTGAGTAATTGAATCATATTGTGCTTTATACGTGAGTTGATCTGTACGAGAATATATTGAATGTTGGAGGAGTTTATCGTTGTACCACGTCTCACGAGAAGCAAGGTTGGGAAATCCATTGTCTCCAAGGCTGCCGGCCTGAAATCTAAGTGAATTAACACGCATATTAGTTTAGCTAAACCGACGTCGGCCGACGTCGGCTGACATTCACTCACCGAGCAAACAAGTAAACTGCTAAGATCCCCACAGGACACATGAAAACGTCTTTGTTGCGTATTAACCCCGAATACTCTACTTTGCCATGCTTGTTGACTTTTCCACGTCTACTAACGCACACAACAACTAACATGGGTGTTGGTCCCTCGTTATCCCACACAGTGTACGCCAAATCTGAAAGTTCCATGCCTCGTTGGTTATCGCCCCGGTAGAGCACGTACAGGCCTAGAGCGTGAGCAACAGCGTCACGGAGGCCTTGCTCGGTATTTCGAGAGACGTAAGCACTGAAGCAATCCTCAATTTGTTTTCTACTTTGATATCCGTCGAAAATTGTATCTAATAATCAATTAGGCTCTTGACTGTGCTTACTTACTACTTGTTTTATCGATAAACATTTCCCTTTTCGTTTGTTCATCTACTCGTCTTAAGACTAACAAAAGGCTTTTCATTGCTGCCGAGCGCGGATGAGGATGACTGTTCATGCCTTTGTATTTCTGCTGTTTCCATAGACTGACCAGAGCAGCTACATGCAGTTTGATTGACGCTTGACTTTGCGTCATTCGGCTAAGCTTTAACAAAACTGGCATTCAGCAAGCACTTTATATCACAGTTAGCAAGTGAACACACCACTTTCTCTAGCTGTTGTTGTAGGCACTTTTTCTCCTCGAGTTAGGTCTTCAACTACATCTAAAGCTCGTAGTTGACTTTCTTCCAACGTATCCAAACTTGTTTCAACATCTTCGATTGAGCATGTTGGTAGTAGGTCAGAACTTGCTCTTCTTGCTCCAGCAACTGAGGTCTCTGCTTCCTCAGGGGTACTTTGACGTTCTCTTTTGCGTGTATCTGTACGATTATTGGGGTAAAATAACACTTGTGTATATATCCATCTAAGGGCGTACTCCGGTGTAACCGTATCTCTGGAACAATTAGCATCTTTTGATCGTTCCTACTTTGCCCCATCAAGCAATCTGCCGCCGACGTCGGCCGACGTCGGCCAACTCATACAAAGTCACGTACCCAGTGCTAAACTTCATTCTTTGACACCATTCTTGCCATCTTCGTATGCGTACTTGGTAATGAGCTTGTGTTGAGGAAGCATTACTCATTTTCTCAAGTTCCCCAAAGTCTTCACGCCAATTATCTGACGTATTCCAACAATCCGCAATCTCATCATGTATAGTAGCGTTAAGACGGTTTTGACGAGACATTATATAGTTGAATAAAGCAAAAGCAGGTGGTAGAGAGCTGAAATGGATGAAAGACAGTTGCAGATAGTGAAAATAACGTTGCATTGTTCATTGTAACCCTTTTTTCACACTCAGGAACCCGAGAAGGTCTGTAACCGCGGCTGTTTGTATGGTGTAATTCCTGTAACCGCGGTTACAAGGACGGGACCTCGGACGCTATGGGCAAAAAGGGGGGTGTCACGTGACTTCGTGGCGGACGACGTCCGGACGCGAGCGGACGGCTGGGTAGGATAACTGAAGATGCGGAGTGAAGTGCTGGGGTACGGAGCCGAGATAAGGTTTGTGTTGATAAGTAATGCCACATAACTAGTAACTACGACTCGAAACTGTTTATAGATACGATACCATCCGTAGTCTTCGATGCGATTCTTACTATCATCGTAATCGTACTCGTCGTACACTATCGA